GCTATAGCAATAACAATAAATGGTAAAATTCCAAGCAACTAAACTAAACCCCTAAACTTAGCCCTATAGTAAGTACATGTACTGTAGTTAATTAATATTACCCAGTTCTTATTTGTATAATTAGACTAACATCTACACCTTAAAACAAAGCGTAACCAACAAAAATTATACAGCGCAATTATCAGGAATTGATGTACTGGTGAAAAATATCTATATGGCAGGCTATTTGAAGGAGAGGAGACTAAAAATAAATGGCCTTGATGATGTCAGCAGAACAGGAAAGTCGTTTGAGGGGTGGAGCAAGTTGTTACGATTTGATGAAAGTTTCCAAATAATGTAAAATAAGTGTGATTTAAGTGTCCAAATAATTTTTGAAGAGACAATACTGTGGTATTTACCACCTGATGCCGTCACTGTGCCATTTTTTGTAGGGGTAGTATTAAACAAAGTTCCGCCCCATTCCGATCCAGCAGTGCTTCCTTTCTCTCTTTTATCCCTACCTCTCTCTCTCTCTCTCTCCCTCTCTCTCTCTCTCGCTGTGAGCCCCCACCGCCGTGCCTCTTGACTTTGAATCATATGTTAGTTAATCCCCGGCGGTTCCCTCCACTGATCTGGCTGTGGGACTCTAGTTTTCCTCATATCTCGCTCATCAGCTCCTCTTGGAGAGACTCGCTGGACGTTCCACATGGCAGATCCACCTCTTCACAACTCCTGGCCCTCGTTCTCATGGATGAAACGATGGTCCTTCAAAAGAGGTAGAGAGGATGATTGTGTCTTTCTGGATCTCTGGCATCGTTCCTTCCACTTCTTAACACTCTTCTGTGCTATTTCTGACCAAAAAAAAAACAAAACAAGGCAATATCATATTTTTTTTTAGATATAATTCTAAAAATGATTTATGTAGTTTATAATACAGTAATTTATTACATATATTATTGTGTCTTTAATATAATTTAATAAGTTATGTCCATTAAATTATAACTAAATTCCAGATTACCAATGTTTTTTGTAGAAAATATAAATACAGGTAATATAAACTGTAGTAACAAAGTTATTTGGTGAGAACTATGGTTACAATGGTATTTTTGTAAGGGAATGTCCAGAATATATTCAGTATATGTGTGTGTGTGTATCTGCCTACTTCATTGGAATATTTCAGCTTTGAAAGTATACTGAGTGTTGCTTTATTTTGGCTTTCTAAATCAGTTGTGTGTTTCTACACTGGTGCAGTGGGGTTTTTTCAGCCTTTTCTGTCTTAAAATTTCAATAGTTGAGGAGGTGTTTTGTTTGCTTATGATTGAGTTTGACACTGATGTTATGGTGCATGCATTTGTGGTCTGTCAGACCACCGGTGCTCAAGAGGACCGGTCACATTGCCAACAGAATGAGCTTTTGCATGCAGCTTTCATGACCTGACTGCATGTGTTAGCACATACAAAACCACATTTTCACACTTATGACAGTTCTGTGTGATTACGTCATTACTGCATTTTGTGATAAAAGATGGAATAACTGGAAACCACCAGACTCCAAAACGGGAATGTTGGATGTGTATTTAAATACTGAACGCAGGTGTACTCAGAGACATGGTGCTCAAACCAGTGATGTAAGTTTGATTCTGACATGCAATTTCCTGATCCCATGTCATTTCCTCTCTTTGCTCTACTATTCTTTAAAGAGAAAATGGCAAAAACAAGATTAAAAAAATAACATGCGCTTTTAGTGTTTAGCCATTAGCACATTTGCTCTAAAACATTGAGCTTCTGACATTTCCTGATCCTATTCCTCATCTTTCTCCCATTAATTTTGTTGTATGTCTACTATTAATGACAGATACAGTAGATAGATAGACAGACAGATAGATAGATAGATCAGTATCACGCCAGTTCAATTAGTGTACTTGAGTTGTATTTAAAAGCATCTGTGATGGTGGCAATATCGCAATGACATTATTGCAATGGAGCTCTGCATTGCTTTACTGCTTTGGGGTTCCCCCTGTAATCCTCTTGGAAAAGCTGAAGACTGGCATAACATAAATCTGCAAATTGCGATTGGCAAACGTTTAACTTCCTCCAGGGATTCGACTACTCAAGTGCATGGGACAGTTAGGCTATTTCGAGCCTGTTTCCTTTTATTTACACCAAAATGAAACGTTGTATCTTAATAGTGTGTGCATTGACCTTGAAGTGTGTGAAAAAAACTGAAGTTTTCAGCAGTAGACCTACAGTAACTCTTGTAAAAGCTTTTTTTTTTTTAAGTATTTATGTCGGAGCATATGGTAAGAAGGAGCAGCCATAAAAGGATATTTGAACATGACAAGCATCATGGTGCTCTTATAGTTTACATATCACTTGTCTGATTCGGATACAAACAACCTCACCGCTCTCAGACTCTGTCATTCGTCTAGGGCCGAGATGATTTACACCAGAAAGTACTGTACAGTTCATTCATCCATCGTTTAAGGACAGGCAGTCGGTGAAGGAGAATGGTTCTGGATTGGACTTTGGTGTCTGGATTTTGTCATAGTTTATATCATTATTGTCATAATCACCTAGTCAATCAGGTACTCTGAGGTTTGGAAAGGTCACTTAAGCAATGCCCCAGTTTTGGTGGGCCTTATTTTAACTCCAAAGGATGGTTCTTGAGAGTGGAAGGAAAATTGAGCAAATCTCAAAAGATGGAGAACATTGACTCTACATTCATAAAAAAATACAGGTTCTGCAATGGTTCTTTTGGGGTTCTGCAGTTGGTGATATGTTTCTTTTGGAGAAAAAACAAGTTCATTTTCAGGTCAGCGAATTGATTCCAGGTAGAGGAAAAGTCAAGCATTTCTTGGTTCTTTTGAAGCATAAGTACTTAGATAGCATTCTGAAGAACCTTGGGTTCTCCTATAGCGGGGTGTCAAACTCAATTCCTGGAGGGCCGGAGCCCTGCAGAGTTTTGTTCCAACCCTGCTCCAACATACATACAATGTAGTTTTCAAATAAGCCTGAAGGACCTGATTAGATGGATCAGGTGTGTTTAATTAGGGATCTAAATTCTGCAGGGCTCCCACCCTCCAGGAATTGAGTTTGACACCCCTGTCCTATAGCATCAGGCTGGAGGCCATTATATACCTGCTATCAAACACAACCCAGAGTTTTGCTTCTGTAAACTAATGCTTCCATTTTGCATCAGATTAAGATCTTCTGTTTACAGGGAAACGTTTCAAGCTTCAACTGACTCCAGCTGTGTGTTGATGTAATATGCTAGAGTTAATGGAAGCCACTGATAAGTTCTGGCAGTAGCTATTTAGAGTATTTTATTTAGGGTATGCCGTCATACTGGCGCTCCAGAACCGTACCTTTATTATTGCTATGTCACAATCCTCAGGAATAAACACAATAGATATGATGTAATTAGATATCCAGAATTAAGTGTTTTGTCTGGTGCACAGCAACAATATGTTTGATAAGGCACCTGACCAAAAGCAACACTGCAAGTCTGAGATCAAGAGATCACAATTATGGATAATATTCCTAGCTAAATTCATGGTGGAACGCTTTGTGTTTTAGCCTCGGCTTGCAAACCATGCTCTCAACTTCGTGCCCCAGTCTCAGCACCCAGCTCCTCCTCATCTTTGTCCCCGAGCTCTATTCCAGAAGACGTCTTCTTTAGCAGTTCACCTGAGGACAAGGTAAGACCCTAACCATAACCTAACTCTTAAACTAAGGCGAATGATTGATAAAAAATTATGCTCAAGCCCCTAATGTTGACCCAGGAACATATGGAAAATGAGTCCATGTGACTTGTTCTTTATGTAGGCTACATGTCTTTTTGAAATTATATCATAGCTTTGTGTGAGGAACAAACTGAAATTTATTTTAAAAAGAGTATTGTAATATCTTTACTTTACCACTGGTTCCTCCATTGGGATTGTTCTTGTCAGTGTACTGTATTGGATCGATGTGTCTGCTTGATGACTGTGCTTACTAATAGCCAGTGGCTCTTGCATCACACAAGAAGTTCAGCTTACTGCATCCTCTTTCAGTCCATGAATGACACTAGCGTGAGCCTTACTTGGACTTCACATTATTAGTCATGTGTCCTGTGATGTTTTTGTTGTGATAAATCAGCTGTCCATGGGTTTCTTGCTTTCAGATAAATTTCTTGACTGAGAGCAACGAGTGCAGCAGTGAGGAGGACCTTTTAGACCTCTGCTCTTCTTTGAGAGATTCTGAATATTTCAGAGACCTGCAACTCGGATCCACTGAACCACCATACAAACAACTTCTGGTCTTAACTTTACCTGTTTCTGACAAAAGTACAGCCCCTTTGGTACCTCCTGCGTCCACACCAGAAAGTCGATCTAGGCAGAGTTCCACAGAGTTCGACAGCCGTCAACTTTTCCAGACAGACAACACCGTGATTTCCACTGGAGGGGATGCCATGGATCGCTTGGTTGCTATCAGAAACTCAGAGTTCCAGGATTATCCGGAATCCGAGCAAGATGAGGACTCGGACACGGATAATGTTCCTACATTGGTTAGATCCATGTCCACATCACGTAGACACAGCTGGGGAGTGCCAGTGTCGCCGATTGACCTGGGAAGAAGGTAAGACTCACTTTTTCAGTGGTCCCAAATGGTGGTCCTCAAAAATGTCTAAATGTCATTGCCATATCTAACTGTGATATTAGAAAATCTTTTAGAAGTGTTTGTCATTTGTTTGGTAACGGAGTGTGTCACACTGTTGTATGTGTGTATGTAAACATAGAAACTTCCAGTCAGGTGTGTTGAGGCAAGTTGGAGCTAAACTCTGCAGGACACCGGCCCTCCAGGACCGAGTTTGGACAGCCCTGATATAGACCATAGGTCTTCAACCCTGCTCCTGGAGACCCACTTTCCTGCAGAGTTCAGCTCAAACCCTAATCAAACACACCTGAACCAACTAATCAAGGTCTCCAGGATCACTTGAAAAGTCACAGGCCAGGTGTGCTGATACTGATTGGAAAGAAACTCTGCAGGACAGTGGATCCCCAGGAGCAGGGTTGAAGACCTATGATATAGACACTAAAGAATCCTATACAGCCATATATCTTTTTTGCTTAGAAAACTGAACTTAAAGCACTGAAAAGAACAACTGAATACATGTAATCCTGACCTGTGTTGCTTTGGAATTCCAGACGAGCAGGAGTTGGAAGAGGGGCTGCAGTCAGTAGAAGGACGGAGTCATGTGTAAGTTTTAACATCTTTGTTTTGTGTAAGAGCACAATAGTAGCTATGGCAAGGTTATTTTGAGCCAGTGAAGTTAACATAATTCTGAAGGATTACTGAAGGACCTTGGAATCTGTCAAGATGATCAAGTAGCTTCCATGATGGTTTCCTGGAATGCATTTAGCATACAGTTGGATTAGTGAGACCAGTCTGTCTGAAAGGTCCACTTAAGTGCCTTGAAACACGCAGCGTTATGCTATGTGGTGACGTACTTTCAACTGAAACATTAAGACTGGGGGGTCCCGATGTTCGGCGCGGATTATCTGGTAATGTGAGGTGTTCACCGATCGAATCTTGCACCTCCCGATCTGCTCGCACACAAATCTAATCTTAATGATATCTTGTAGTGTGTGATACTCCACAATGTTAAAATCTCGTAGTGTGTGCGCATGTTTAAGATTTGAGGGAAGATCATCTGCAAAGATTCTCCTTATGTGTGTGCTGCAACCAGATTTCATAATCAGTTAGGATTTTAAAACTCCTGTAGTGTAAGCCCGGCTTAAAGCCGCATTTAACAGCTTATAACAGCCACGGTCTAATTAGATTAGCCCTTTAGATTCTATGAGACTTTTACTAAAGCAAAACAGTGATTATAATGATGCTGAGGATGTGTAGTTTGAAAATTGTGTAATTTATGTTGGTGCAGGGCACCGGTGTTATCTCTTCTACTCGTTAGTGCCGTTTGTCTAACTTTGAATGTACCGGGTGAGTGTAGAAAGCAGCTAGCACACTAGCTAACATTTGTAAACATCACTGAAATATCAATGACATCTGCAGCGTGAGATCACTTGAGGCGCTCCCTCTGGCATGATAATCTTAATGATATCTTGTAGTGTGTGATACTCCACAATGTTAAAATCTCGTAGTGTGTGTGCATGTTTAAGATTTGAGGGAAGATAATCTGCAAAGATTCTCCTTATGTGTGTGCTGCAACCAGATTTCATAATCAGTTAGGATTTTAAAACTCCTGTAGTGTGAGCCCGGCTTAAAGCCGCATTTAACAGCTTATAACAGCCACGGTCTAATTAGATTAGCCCTTTAGATTCAATATGAGACTTTTACTAAAGCAAAACAGTGATTATAATGATGCTGAGGATGTGTAGTTTGAAAATTGTGTAATTTATGTTGGTGCAGGGCACCGGTGTTATCTCTTCTACTCGTTAGTGCCGTTTGTCTAACCGTGTCTTCTCCTAATCTGATCCAAACCGCTATAAAATATAGCATTCTGTGTAGAATTCAAATTTAGTGGTCTACGCGACTCGCGCATATGATCTGCTCCGTGATATCGTGTCTCTGGACCCGAGCACACTGTGCGCGTGACACAACGCAAAACCAGACTTCTTTCAACCCAACGGAAAGCATATTTACACTGTCTTAATCGTTCCTTATTCCCCATATAGTGCACTACGTGCCATTCAGCATACAGAAAATACTAGTTCTGTGAACAAGTGACCTATTTCAGCCGCAGTTTCAGCGTTTATTTATAGTGTAGTGGGCAGGACATTTCAGATTCTGGAGAGCATTTGATTGGACAGAAAGTTTGATGAGAAGCTGAAGTGAAGGGTGACGTCATCAAAACCATTGATTCATATTGCCGGAAGTGAGAGACTGTAAGTTTTGAATACTTATATCTTCTAAATACAAGTTTTGTCATCGTTTTGGAGCACACTAGCTTATCGATAACTACAAGGCTAACATATTCATACTAAAAGCCAAAAAATTTACATTTTGATTTCATGGGGACTTTAAAGTCCTGTGTAATTAGCTGGTTTGGGGTCCTTTTTTATTTGCATAAAACTAGTAGTCCTCAAAACATCCCTTTATGCAAATATGCTAATAACAAACATTGACAAGCATAGTTTTCAGTCCTGATGTATTTCCTGTTGCAGGGTGGGACATATTGAAGGACTTGTTCAATACAAGCCAATAGCATTTAGCTAAATTGCACTTGCTAGTTGGCTGCAGCTAGTATCAGGTGGAGGGGCATTCTCAGTCTAGAGAGCCGTTTGATTGGACAAGAATGTAGTGCAGGATGATGTCAATATTTTGGGTCTGTTTTCATGAAAGAGACCTAAATTTTAATTTATCAGCTTTTAGAGCATGCTAAAATATAGCTTAGCCTAAAAGCTAATAGACAGGAACTAAAAGGAAAAAATCTAGATAAACTAATCTAAACAAGTGTTTTTTCCATTAACCTGAAGGAAGTCATGGGTGATTGTAGCCCACCGTGGATGTAGCCTGCTCCTGTACTTGTGAGCTAGGCAGTAGATTTTGTGCTGATGGTTTTATTTGGACAGCGGCCCGCCGTGTGCCCTGCCGCTGCCACACATACTTAGCCTCAGTGTCTTGTTTGTCTCAGGCTGATGGTACAGAAAGTTCTGCAGGAGCTTAAGCAGTATCATGGGTAAGTAAACGGTGTGAAAGAACCTATCGTGCCCTCCTACAGACTAACAGAGTGGCCCACGTTTGGTTTGCAGGCCCGAAATAGAAAGCATTGTTTCTCACTTGGCTGTCTTGAACATGTTGTGTATGTTTGCATAATTATGGCATACTATATATCTTTTTTGTTTACCACTCTTGCTGTATTTTTAAACCTGGTGAGGCTTTTCCTGGTTAGGACGTCCTTGTTTTATCTCAAAACCTGCATGAGAAACCATAGCGTGCTTTTAACAAGGTCATGAAACGTTTGCACAGCAACTTAGGCTTCTAACAGCAGACTAGCAAGAGGCTGTGTTCGGAATGGAAAACTAGCATACTGCAAAGTACACACTGTATACTTACTTTTCTATATATATATTTTTTAAAGTTTTCGGTTTAAAAAGTAGCGTGCTATATTGTGTAAACTCTATGTCTGGGTAAAATGAGACAAGAAAGAAATGTCAAAATTGTGGTTGATGCAGTTTTCACTCTAAAAAAGGAAGGTTTATTCAAACATTTTGCGTTGTGGGTTGCAGAAAATTTGCATACTGCAGAAATTACAGCAATATTCTATTCCGAACATAAAAATGGAATTGCATGATGCTTGCTGCATACTGTGCACTATGTACTACTACTATAGAATAATTCTGTTTAACCCGTAGTATGCACATTGTCACTTGCTGAAAGTTTTTGTAGTATTATTTTAAATCCCAAAAAAACTTTTGCTAGTCCAATCAAATAGTCTAGTATGGTAGTTTGCCATGCCGAACATATCCAGAGTAATTTTGTAGTAAGCATGCATAGGTTGCCAGTGGAGAGTCTTACTCTGAATTCATTCAATCCTGATCGTTATTATCTTGGATTTTCCTCAGAGCTAAACACAGAACTTCAAGCACAGAAAGAAAGGAGGTGACAGGGAATTTCACGTGGTATGAGTTTCTTACCATTGAGTAAGTCATAGACCTTTTTATGCTGTTCTTTATATAATAATCACTTGGATATACTCTTGTTCTCAATCAATCATTTGAATTTTAAATGGGCTTGATGTTGTTTTTTTTGTAGAAATGACGGAGAAGAGGAGGAAAGACCTGAGCGTCTGGAAAAAGGTACCAAAGTCAAGCGGACTCTGAGCTCACTGAGGAACCGCATGACCGGATCCTTCAACAAAGACAAAGTAATCACACACACACACACACACACACACACTGACATCACTCACACTCGGGCTGTGGGATAAAATCATATACATTTCTGCTGAACTTTGCAGCAACTTCTGTGTCTCTGCAACTTCCTCCTTTTCTTGAATGTAGAAAGACACTAAACTCGCCCATGCAGACTACTGGGAAAGTTTTGACCTGCTCTTTGAACTAGACAATGTGCCAATTGTATACTGTCTTTTAAAAAAATAAAACCCACAATAAGTTAATGAATCTCCCCTTTTTTTTTTTTAAAACCTTGATCAGCTGATATACTAGATATATCTAATTATTTTGGTTAAATGGCTAATATATTGTAAAATGTTTATATTTTTAGGACTTAAAAATGAGGTCTCTCACTAAGAATTGTCCAGGTTATATTTATATGATTTTCCTGTAGTATATATTTCAGCAAAATTAGAGTAAAGAGTAAAATAATTAGGAAATGCACAAAAAAGAAAAAACATATAAAGTTTTTTTTATCTCTGGTCTTTCCTCAATTAAATTAAAATAAATGATATATATATATATACACACATACATATATACACATACATATATACACATACATACATACATGAATACATATACACCTACATACATATATATACATACATACATACATACATACATACATATACACATACATATA